GTGCGGCCAGAAGGGGGACCCAGTCGGCTCTGAGGGAAGCACGAGAGCCTCGGGGGGGGGGGGCAGTCCTGTAGGAAAAGGTTGAGCTTGGGAGGCCGGCAAGATGGTTCTTGTGCAAGAAGCAGGTTTGTGTGTGCGTGTGACTAACCAAGGGGGTCCAAGGTAGGCCACAGTGTGTGAGCCCCCTCCAACCTTCATGAGCTGCTACCTCCATGGTCGTCGGGGGCCTCCTGGTTTGCCCGGAGCTCCTGGAAGGGAGGGGGATTGTGCCCATTAGGGCTCTGCTCTGCTCTGCCCAGGTTGGTCGCCTTCCGGCAGGCAGGCAAACCAGATTCATGAGCTCTTTGCACCCCCAGGAGAACTTTGAGCTCACCCATGAGACCCTTTATCTGGCGGTCAAACTGATGGATCACTACTTGGTCCGGGTGGGGGCCATGCGGGACAAGCTGCAGCTGATCGGCTCCACAGCCATCCTCATTGCCTGCAAGTTCGAGGTGAGCCCCCGCAGCGCTGGGCCAGGAGATGAGCTGTCCTCTCTTGGGGACGGGGGGGGGGAGCCCAAAGCTCTGAACCTGCAGCCCTTCCTGGGATGTTCACCTCCAGCTGGCTCCCCCTTTGCGGCTTTGGCTCCTGCCCCCAACTGAAAGGCTGTGCCCTTTTGGGGGGTGAAGCAGCGACTCTGCACCAGCAAAGGTTCACGGCCCTCCTTGTGCCGCGTTCCAGGGAGGGGATTACCCAGAGACTTGGGGCGGGTGGGCGAGGTGTCTGCTTCCATGTTACTCCAGAAGCCCGGACTGGAGACACGCACGTTTCCAAGCCTCTGGAGCAGCGGCGGTCCAAGGATGGTCCGGGGACCCTCGTGCCCGCTCCAGTCTTCCCATACCCACCTGTCAGAACTGGGCTCATGCTTCAGCCTCCACCATGTGTGATAAACAGATATTTAATTTTGGCTTTCATGGTTTGCTACCAATTTTACATCACAAGGTCTCTTAAAATGGAGGGGATGCTCTTAAAGGTGGAAATGGAGCAGGGGTGGGGGTGTTTAGTGGGGTCATCTTCAGTTTTCTGGTCGTTTATTTGATGGATCCTGACCGCAGAGCACTTGGGAACACTGCTCAGGGCACTGTTGCCCAGGATGCTGCCCTCCGGGCATGCTGGTTCCCGAAGCCCCCGCCAGCGTGGCCAGAGACAAGCCTGGCTGAACATGAGGAGGACTGAGGTGGTTCTCCGCTGGGGAAGGCTGCATCCATCCAAGGGTGAAAGGGGCAGACGGATCCTCTTGTGCGGACGTTTGCGATCCAGCTGCCTCGGCTGCTGCTAGAGCGTGTCTTTCCCGCAGGAGCGCTGCCCTCCCTGCGTGGATGACTTCTTGTACATCTGTGACGATGCCTACAAGCGGGAAGAGCTGCTGGCCATGGAGATGAGCATTTTGCAAACGCTCCACTTCGACATCAACATCCCCATCGCCTATCGCTTCCTCCGGCGGTTTGCCAAGGTCAGCAGCGGGCAGTGCAGCAGAAGGAGGGATCCGTCTGTGGGCTGGAGGAGATTCTGGGGGACCCAACGGCTGCTCTTGCCCAGCTGGCTGAGAGAAAGTCCGCACCTGCTGGGCAGAGATAAATGGCGCAGAGGGGCAGCAGGGGCTTCTTGCGGGGGCTCCCTCTGCGGCCCTTCTCACGCGTCTCTCCCTCCCAGTGTGCCCGGGCTACAATGGAGACCCTGACCCTGGCCCGCTTCATCTGTGAGCTGACCCTGCAGGACTACGCGTTTGTGCAGGAGAGCGCCTCCCGCCTGGCTGCCGGCTGCCTTCTGCTGGCACTCAAGATGAAGAACCTCGGCGGCTGGGTGAGGGGGTCACCTTCCTTCTTCCCTGGAGCCCTGTCCCCAAGCAGACTGCCCTGATCGACCTATAAGGCTGTATCTTCCTCCGGCCTGGGGCTGTAGGCATCCCGTCACCGAAGGAAAGATTTGTGCGGGAAGGAGGAAACATGCAGAGCCAGGACCACAGGCAGGATCCTGGGCTTTGCCGGAACAGAAGGGAAGCGAGCTGGTTCCCTTTGCTGCTCTCTCTCCAGCCCTGATGGCTGCAAAGGTGGGCAGGTAACTCTTGGGGGTTTGGAGGAAGCAGAAGTTCCTGCAGCATCGGTGCCTGAGCCAGCAGGTGAAAAAGGGGCTGGTTTCCCTCCTGTTTGCTCCACGCTAGTCTGCCACTTTCACACCTGTCTACAAAGGGGTGTGTGTGTGTGTGTGTGTGTGTGTTAAGTGCAGCCCCTCCAGCAGCTGCCAGAGACTGCCCAGTTTGGACCCGCTGGCAGCTCCTCCCTTGTGTGTTGGCAGGGCCCGACCCTGGAGTACTACAGTGGCTACAGAGCCCAGGACCTCCTCCCACTGGTGAAGCAGCTCAACTTCCTGCTGACCCACGGCCGGGATGACCGACTCAGGGCTGTGCGCAACAAGTACTCCCACCGGTGAGCTGCTTCCTCTGGGCCAGGCGGGGCCTCTCCCTTCTCCTTGCCCGATAGCGGGGCGGGGGATCTGCCCCCCAGTGCAGACAGGCTAGAGTTTGCAGAAGGCATAAAAATCTGGTAAGGAACCAACCCGGGATTGCCACCCAACCTGGGATTGCTGTTCGGTTGATGCAGGAGAGTTCCTCCTCCGAAGGTAGAGTCGGTCCTTCAGCCGCGGCCTTCCTTTTTATGACAACCGGGGAAGCCAACTTGGGGCAGCTCCTTCCTACGGGGGGTGTGTGTGTGAACCCTGCCCTCTGCTCTTGCCTGCTGCCTCATCTGTGGCCCTCTGCCTGCAGGGTCTTCTTTGAGGTGGCCAAGATCGAGCCAGTGGACACGCAGGAGCTGGAGAAAGCTTTGCAGAGCTAGCCCCGGTGTTGAGGGTCGGGGCATCTCCGGCCCCGGGGCCTGTCCTGCACCGAAGCTGGAGCTGACCTACCCTGTAATAGCCTATGAGGCCTGTAAATATATTTTTTTTAATGATGGGAGGAAAAAAGGAAAAATGTTATGGGGGGGAATTGTATGGGCAAAATAACAAGCTTTCAATAAAAGAGTGTGAGCGCAACCTTTTTGTCATGCCTTCAGTGGGCATCCCAAGAGCGCCCCTTTGCTGGGCAAGCCCCATGTGTCGCTGGCCTGGCTCCGGGTGGGAGGTCTCGCTCCAAGAGGGTGCAAGGAAACACGAGGCCAAATGCACCTTCAGCTGCCCAAGGCCACATACGCGACCTCTGTGCACACCCCGCCCCAAGGAAAGGCAGAAGAGAAGACAGACCATTGTTCCAAGATCAAATCTATGTTCAGATTTATTTTGTAACCATGATGTCTGAATTTTGGGTCTACAGTCCAGGTTCTTTCCCCCAATTTTAGGAACAGCATTATTTTTTCTGAAACAGCAGCAATTTCACATTTACTTAATTATCCAAGTTCGTCCCAAATGCTTCGGTAAACCAGTCCACCCTCCCGTCTGCCCACCTTGCTGCCTCGAAGATGGCTTTGTGGATGGGCTGGTGGCTCCCAGCAGGTGAACCGCTTCCTGCAGGCGGAAGGAACGCCGGGTAGCTTTGCTCGTGCGGCGATGGGGGCCGAGTCTCCCGGCTTCCTTCAGCAAGAGTGGTGGGCCCAAGCAGCAGCCTTTCTCCCCCTAACAGATTATAGGGCAGAGCAGCAAAGAGGCAGGGAGTTGGATAAATTGACATCTAAAAGCAGCCCCCCTTCGTGAGGCTGCAGTGCGTAACTGCCCCAGGTTGATGCACTGGCAAAAGGATGCCCGGCTGGCGAGGAGGAGGAAGCTGCTGAGCACTCCAGGCTCGGGGGCAGGGACAGCTGACCCATGGCCAGGCATCTTTGGGGCAGGGGTCTGCTGGGCCGTTACCTTGGGCAGGGGTCTGTCTTCATCTGCTCGTGATTTGTTTTGCGGGGCGGCTGGCCGTTCTGGGCCCCAGGGCAGCCACAGGCAATCCTTCACGATGGCATCTCTCTCCAGCTCTGCTGGGTAAGCCCAAGACGCCGCCGATGCTTTCCCTGCCTGCCCGGGAGCCAAGCCCACGGAGTCGGGTTCCTTTGGGGCAGAAAGGATACGTGAACACCTCCGCTGCTCGCATACGGAGAGGCAGTCACGGCCATGTCCCAGCACAGAGGTGCCCTGCCCAGCCGCACAGCAGCACACGCACAGCATGGGGAAGATGTGGCACCGCTGGCTGCCAGTCCTCTTGCCTTGGGGGTGGCAGCAGCAATGTCTCCCTGCAGCTGCCCTCCGGGACCGGCAGCAGCAGCCGGGGCAGCCTTGGGCTAGAAAGCCAGACGGGGGTACGAGGCGTTGGCTGCTGTCTCGGTTAGCTGTGAAGTCCACGCGCCTGAGTGCCTGATTTGCTGGTCAGCCACAGCATCTGGGTTGTCTTCTGTCCCCCTGGGCAGTCGGCTGGTGCGTGGTTTTGCCATCTGGTGCTTGCAGCCCAACCAGGCATCCAGGGTGGCCTGGCTTGGTGACCCCCCTTTCAGTTTCTGCTAAAAGCCCCTCCGCACTGCAGCGGCCCACTGTGGCTGAAGGGCTCTCCCAGAAAGCTCCAGGCCCTGCAAGCCAATTCCAAAGTGCATTTGCGCAACACGGGTGAAAAATAATTTAAGTTATATATTACTCTTTAAATAAATATCTTTCCAAGGTATGTACATTTTTTATCACACTTTACAACAGACTGGATCAATGTGGCAAAGGTTCAGATAGGGAACAAGAGTTGGGGAAAAGGGCAAAAGGAGCACCCAGCCGAGAGCAGGGAAGCTGGCACCACGCTGGCATCACAGGGCCCAGTCTGCCATGCAGGTGGGAGGGGGCAGCACTAACCCCAGCCTCTGAAAGGCTTGCTTCCCTGCTTTCCAAGCCCTTCTCTAAATATCAGCACTGTTAGGAAGGGCGTTTCTTATTTGAGCATCTTATGATTTTTGATGGAAACTTTTAATAAAGAACACTGTAGAATTTGAAAGTTTGCATGTTTATAATCAGTTGGTCAGCTGGCAAGTGACCTCTTACACCCTGGATCACAAGAGAAAACTATCTGGAATTCTACGTCTTCTGAAATGTGCATGCATGCCACTACTGAGGCTTAAATGACTGGTGAAAAAAACTTTTATTTAAAAAAAAAACCACAAGGGGTCCTCTGCAGTCACCCCAAAAGTGGCAGACGTCAGCCGGGGCCATTGCCGGGGGCGTGGGGGAAAAGGGCCAGTTGGCCCGGGGGTCAGTAGCAGGGCAAGGCAGCGGCTGCCTTTTGCTCTCCCTCGGGGGGACCCTTGCTCCTTTGACAGAACCGGAAAGGCCGAATCTGTTGTGCTTCCCACTGCCAGGCGACTGTCAACAGCAGAGCGGTCTTCCTTGCCTAACCCTGAAGCTGGCACCGCAAGAATAGGGTGCTGGGAGCACCCCAGATGGCGTTGCAGCCAGGTGCCATCAGCCCCACCAAGCCCAAAATCGAGGGGAGGCGTCCACTGGTGTTACATGATGGAAGAGAATAGCTGAAGCCTCCCTCCCCGCCCTCATATTAATGGAACAAATGGGTGCGTGAAAAGAAGCCAGTTCAAGCTTTTGAACATAAACCACAGCAGCTGCCACACAGGTGGACCGGGGAGACGTGGAGGCAAGGAAGGGCGAGCCCAGCCAAACCACGATCTTTGGCAAATGTGGGAATGTAAACTCGTGGCCTGGGAGGATGGAGAGTGGCCCTTGCACGAAGACCTCAGGGGCCCGGTGCCGGCGAGGCCTGGCAATCAAGCTGGACGCCGTCAGCCCCAAGGCCCCCACGGCAATGGAGGAGGGCCACCGAGCGCAACGCCACCGTCCCTTCAGAGGCCCTTCTCTACGGCGGGCTGGTGCTGTCCTTGATTCCCTGGAGAATCCTCTTCAGATGGCCCACTTTTGATATCCCAAGTTCCTGTGCAAGGGGAGGAAGCGAGAGAACTTGCTCAGGGCGGCAGCGAGCCCCTCTCCTTTCAGGTGGCCCTTCGCCTTACAGCTCTTAATTATTGCTTTGCAGCTCTGCGCATTTCTGCGCAATGTGCTGGAGTGAAAGGAGCGCTGCTGCGCCGCCGCAGAGCCCCATCTGGTTAGCTCGGTGGCCGTCCTCAGGTGGAGCTCCTGCACGACCCTTTTGGACAGAAGCCCCCTTCCCACTACAGGAGCGGCTGGGGTGAAGGACGCCAGCCGGACAAGGGCCCCCCACCCGCATCCCCTCCTTGTGCCTTTGCCTGGGGGGAGGCTGCAAGGGGCAGAGCAGGCGGCAGCAGCTTGGCCATGCGCTGCGCAAGCGGGAGCGGTGGCAATCCCCTCCCCGCCACCCCGCGGGCCTGGGGCGGGACTGTACGGGGTACCTTCAGGTCTCTCCTCTCCAGCAGGATCAGCTCGGAGCCCTGGATGTCATGGCGCACAAAAAGCTCTTTGTATTCCCCTAAGTCAAGAGCCTCCAACCAGGCGGCCACTTCCTCAGGGCCCCAACTGTCCACTGGCAAAAAGGAAAATTACAGGATGGTTGTTGGTTGCGCTGCCGGAAG